TTTCCCTTTTAAATAGTTCTAGTCTTAAAGTGTTATGCCAGAGGGGAGGAGTGTGCATGAGCACAACTTTTGAGCAGCATCCTGAGTACCTTCATAGGATGGGTGCTTCACAAATAACATTATTTTATTACTGCATTATTATAAATGCAAATGTTAATTGCTCTGATTTAAAAAAATATTTTTTCCATATTGTAAGTTAAAATTCAGATTCTGTTATTTTTGTAGCTGTTTCCCCTAGCAGAACTTTTCCATGCATGTGTGTGTTGTGTAACCATAACACAAATTAATATCTGCAGTTAACACCATTCCCAGCATACATCATTACTATTACGACTGATACTATGAACACTTACTAAGAATATTTCACTTAATATTGATGCATTTTCATAGTACATACTAGGAATGTTAAAATTAGATTAATCAACTAATTGAATAGTCGATGGAATTTCCATCAAGTATTCAATTAGTTGATAAGGGCGCTTCTGCTTTGAAATGTAGCAAGACCCCTCCCGGCTGTTGCTACATTTCAAAGTTGGGAGTGCTTTGTGGGATTCCACCTTTGAAATGTACAACAGCTCCAGCAGGGTTCATGCAGCACTTCTGCTTTGAAATGTAGAAGAGCCCTAGCAGGGACTCTTGTATGTTTCAAAGACTGAAACACTGCCTGGATCCTAGGGCCAGAGTGGGAATCCCCTCCCCTGTTGGCCCCAGGCTCCATACAGCACTCCCACTTTGAAATGTACAAGAGCTCCAGCAGGGACTGGGAAGCTGGGGTGGGGAGGAGAGAAGGGAAGGGAAGAACCGTCATTTAAGCTGGCTCCCCCAGCATCCCCTTTTCTCTACCTGCCCCTTGCTGCCTCTTTCTGATAGAGGCAGTAAAAGCTGGGGGAGGGGGAGTGACTAGTCAACTAGCATATCAACCATCCGATAAGCTTTTGCTTATCGGATAGTCGACTAGTCGCTTACATCCCTAGTAAATAGTAGGGGTGTGTTAGTGAACACCAGGAGCGGCCCGAGGTGGGCTGCAGCAGCTGGCGCCTCAGGCGGAACACGCAATTGGCGCCTCTGCCTGCAGGGCCGTTAATGGACTGACGTCATCATCGGGCACTCCAGGTGCCCCGTGACATCATCATTGGGCGCCCCGTTGAAGGCGGCAGCCGAATCCGTCTATAGTCACGGGCCACCCCTGGTGTACACCTTTAAATGGTTAACTGACTGGCTCCCCACACAGAACCACCTGCCTTCCTCCCCCATTCTGCCTCTGGTATAGAGGCAGCAGAGGGTGGGGGTGAGGTAGCTTTGTAGGAGCCACCGCCTCCCCCCCGTAACACATGTAAATGTGTAACTGCTGAATTTTTCAGAGATTATATGTTTACAAAAAAATTGCTCGTTTCCATATCCTTTTACATACTATGTATCTAGAACACTACACAGTGCAAAGTTAACAAATATTTCCATATAGAGACAGTTAGGGGCCACATATCTAGTTGCCTAAATAGCTTTAAAGTTGTATCCCTTAATGTGTTTGTGAAACTTCCTGTTATATTAGTAAAATAATCCTAGAATAAACGTTGATTATATGTTTCAGTTCAAAGTATCTTCACTCTTGTTGGTTTAATAGTCATATTGATATTCTGATCACTTTTCAGACAATACTGAATTCAAATTGTTTACTGGAATTTTTAAAAGTATCAAGCAGTGCATCATGTACAAAATTTAAACTTTGAGTCAGATTTCAGTTGACAATGTTTAGTCATTTTTTCCAGATACAAAATATCACATTCAGAACAGATTTTGTAACTTCTATTTCAAGATCAATTTTAGAGGGACTTTTGTAAAGAATACATCTTTTATTACATTTTGTTGATGCAGTGTGTTCCATTTCACGTTACACTATTTCAGTAATCTTTTGTAGTAATCTTTCTTATAAACAGGGATCCTAATTCTCCGTGATAAACCCACCACAATTCTCTTAAACATAAATCCACATTTTTCTATAATTAAATGAAATCTGATAGCCTGTACCCTGCTGCCCTTGGACTGACAGCACAATCCCCATCTCTGTTTTATTTAAAAAAAAAAAAGAAGCAGCAAAATTAGCCTTTTTCCTTGGCAAAGAGATTTCTAAGATCCCATCCTTGCTAGAAATAGAAGTACTGGAAGTTTGGTCCTGTACTCCTTACCTTCCCACTTACTCTGTATTTTTGTATTTTGAAATACTGAAGGTGAGAAAATGATAATTAGACAATTACATATGTATGCTTTGGATAGAATGTTTCATGTTTGTATTATAAACAAGTTAGGAGTGAAGGATCTGAACCAGGACCAGAAGACAGACATATGTTTTAAAATGTCTAACAATTTATTTCCTATCACTAACTGTAAACAAATATCCTGGACCAGATTGCATACCTAGGTTTAATATCTTCAGTTGAAATTGGGCAGTCTTGCTTAAGTTCAAGAAACACAATCTGTCACTTTGTAGATAGGTAAATCTATTTTAGAGTCATTTAGAAGTCTGCTTATCAGAAAAGTTTTGCAGCCTTCTGTTATCTACTTTCCAGCATGTCAGTAGCACTCATTTGCTTGCCAGTAATAAAGTCAACTTGAAACTAAGAGAATTAGAGAGCAATAGTTTAAAAGGAAAATTGGACTGACAGCTAAGTTCCTCAATCCATATTTTGGCACCTGTGAAGGTGTTGCAGGGACCATATGTGTACCTCTCTAGATCTGGGATTTAGCTATCAGGTCAGCTCATGCCCTTTGCTATCAGTTATCGCCCTTTGCCTTTCTCCCAATACTCTTACAACCCAGGATGCTGTCTCTTCATGACTTGGCCCTCCACCTCAGTCACTTTATAGTCTTTCCCCTTCCAGTGTAACAAAGTCCCATCAGAGAAGCTGTCCATGTGTCATCTCTGGCAATCTTCTGTTTCTGAGTGCCACTTTGCCAGTGCATGCTGGTAGAGAGATTTGGGTCCACCTGTTGCTCTGGATTCCATTATAGTGACCTTCTGACTACCTGACCATGTCTGTTTAGCCTCATTAGCTGTTTCCCTGGGCTTTTTCCTACTTTGTCTCCATGTCTGTCTATGGCTTTGTCTACACTGCAGGGTTTTTGTGCAAGAAGTTTTTTGTGGAAGAGATCTTCCGCAAAAACTTCTTGTGCAAAAGCGCGTCCACACCGCAAAAGCACATCACAAAAGCGATGTGCTTTTGCGCAAGGGAGCATCCACACTGCATAGTTACTCTTGCACCAGAAAGCTCTGATGGCCATTCACAGAACCCTTGCACAAAAAGGAGTTATGCCTCATAGAAGGAGGTATACCTACACCGCAAAAAGACCTTTGTTCTGTTCATTGACTGTAGATTTTCTTGTGCAAAAATGCACTGGAGGTATGGACGCTCTGTGGGTTTTTGTGCAAAAACAGCGCAAAAACCCTGCAGTGTAGACATAGCCTATGTGTTTACTGCTGGAGTATCTGCCAGTCCTCCTGTAGCTACTTCACCTCTCTAGGCCTCTTGTAAAACTCCCTAGTCCACAGCAAGAAGCCAGGGCTTATTCCTTTTCTTGGATTTCCTTTTTGTTCCCATCCCACTCCCTTTCCCTCTAGGAAGTATGTGACTGTAGCCTTCCTGCTTCCATTTCATGGCTTTATAATTCTATCCCAGTTATGTTTCAGTTGTAGGGTTGCCAGGTGTCCGGTTTTGAACCAGACAGTCCAGTATTTGAGCTTTCTGTTCGGGAAACAAATTGAGAAAATATAAATGTCTGGTATTTTCTAAATAAGATGTAATGTAGATCATGATAAAATGTCAAGTGTGTCCAGTATTTTTGTTGAAACCATCCGGCAACCCTATCACTTGCCATTAGGCTTTATTAATTCCTGGTTTCCCTCAAGGTGCAACATCTGAGATTAATTAATCCCTCTTCCTGGGCCATCTTAATCGGCTCAGGAGTTGTATGAGATGGATGTAGGGGATTTAAGTGACTAGTTGAGTAGTCGACTACTACATTTAAACTGCACAACCACAGCGGAGTAGCTTCTCAAGCCGGGACAGAGCATCTACCCTTAATCATGCAGTTGATACAATTTGTATAATCAACTATACAATTACCCAGTTACCTATTTCTTAACATCCTTAATGGACACCCCATCATAGCACCTTAATAGGTAAACTGGATTTTCAAGTGTTGAGGAATGAGCAGATGCCCTTGAGGCCACTGAGTTTTCAGCTGTTGATGTAACGTGTCAGTCACTTTGTCTCCATAATGACAGCTAGACTTTGGTGGGATCTGACTTTATGCTGTCTCTATCCTCTGAGCAGTGAGATTGGCATATTCCATATAGCAGAGTAGGCTAATAAGGCTGCAGATCTTTTGGAGCAAGAAGTTTAAAAAGAGTAAGATAAAGTTTTCTTCCCAACAAAACTATATAAAAACACTTATTTATTCTATTTCAAAAATCAAACAAACCTAGGAGCTGGAAGGCCCAATGGACAGGTAATGGAATACAAATAAGGTAACTTTTCCAATTTTGACCCAGCTGGATCATGATCAAAATTATATAGCAGCTTCAGGGGGTAGCCGAGTTAGTCTATACAGGATAAACTTAAAAAACAACAAATGGTCTGGTAGGACTTTATATACTAACAAAACATGTAGATGGTATCATGAACTTTCGTCTAGTCATCTGAAGAAGTGGGCTGTGCCCACAAAAGCTCATGATACCAAAATTATATAGGTATCTAACTAGCTCAATATGTGAATTTAATTGTCTCAGATCAGTTACTTGCTAAAAAAAAATAGCTATTTACTGCATTAATTAGTACTCTGGTTAGCAGCAGTCTTCGCAAGAAGCCAATAAATGACTGTCTAAGGAGATTTAGAAGCTCCGGGGGTAGCCAAGTTAGTCTGTACAGGAAAAAACAACAAATAGTCTGGTAGTACTTTATAGACTAAAGAAACATGTAGATAGTATCTACATGTTTTGTTAGTCTATAAAGTGCTACCAGACCATTTGTTGTTTTTTCCTGTACAGACTATTTGTTGTTTTTTAAGGAGATTTAGTGCCAATGTTCCCCCTGAATTTCCCATTCATCTGCAGAATAAATTTTATGTGCACCGAGGCACATGCAGATGTGCACTACCAGCAGAAATACATGCTGCTGGGTGGTGCACTCTGCTGATTGGCTGAATGGCATTTGACTCTCTCCTGGTTGGCCTCCCAAATGGCTCAGCTTACAGGAAACACTGCTTAGTACTCTTTTTAAATGGCCTTTATAAATGACCCGTTCAGAAAGAGGGTTGTGGGACACTAAGCGGGCAACATGGGGAAGCTTATGCTGTCACTGCTCATTATATTTGTCCTGGGACAAGACTGAGAATTATGCATCCCTGGCAATTCACTAACATTTTTTATATATAAAAAATGTTTATGGCTCCAGTGCTGCAAACATACTTTATGTGAGCAGGCTCATTGACTTCAGTGAGTCTACTCATGTGAGTTTAATTAAGCATATGCATAAATGTTGGCAAGACTGAAGCGCAATGTGTTAATGATCTCAGTAGAGTCCTCTGGGCACTAATATATAATAAAATATTTAATAATGTTTATAATATGAATTTATGGATTGACAGATGTTTTAGTTCATCATTTTTTATTAAAGTATGTAACTTGGGGTGGTGGTAGTGGGGGAGAAATTCCATAATAAAAAAAAACAGTCCCAGATCTGTGTTTATTCAATTAGAGAATAATATAACCTTTTAAGTAAATATGTTGTGTTCAAAGAATATGCCTTTTATCTAATACTATATTTTTTCCCCACACAAGGGAATGATCCTACAGTCTGTATTCATGTGTCTGTCCTTTGAGCTAAATAGCAAGTTTATCTAGGTCAGGATAGCAGGATCAAGGTATTTAAATGGAAGTTTGGAACTACAAAAAAAGGTTTTAATGTAACTCGTCAGAAACAGGGTTTTTTAAAAATTGCTTAAATTACTTTTTTAATGCTAGAGAAATCTGTTATATATTATTGGAGCAATTCTAAGAGTATCAATTGGAAGTGTAAATAAAATATGAGAGACTGAACAATGCTGAATCAAACTGACACACCTCCAAAATAGGTAAATACAACATACATTTTATAAAATAGCGCACATGGTATTTTTTGATAAAAATAACCAAAGTGTTACACTCTCCTCACTATTGATACATTCCTTACTCTGTGAAAGAGAGAAGGAATGTCTGTACATGATTTGTTACAGTGAATACTCCATAATGTGTAACATGAAAAGAATGTTCAGTCACTGATACAAACATGTAGTTCATTAATGGGAATCAAACACAACCTTTTATATTGAAACCTGTCAAGGTCCTAAATACTTAGCTGAAAACAAGATTACTTTACTTTCATTTAATATGAAATAAATAAGTTTCTTCAACTGGAAAATTAGTCTTTGTTCTTAGGATTGTATATCCAATTACTCTGACATTCCAGGCTTGATGAAGAAAGACTGTCTGCAATAGGTTTTGAAGGTAGTATCTTGAAAACTCCCAATTTCCTTTTTATTTACCTATTTAACCTGATTTATTTTACAGTTTTGGATTGATATTGGCTGAGGAAACAAACTATTGCTTCTTTTTGTTGTATGAAAAAGGCCTAAAGGAAACTATGAGGGTTATTAATTGCAAGAAGAATTTACCAAGGTTCATGGTACATTCTCCTTCACTGGCAATTTTAAAATCAAAATTGGTTGTTTTCTCTAAACTATATGTTCTAATAATTTGTTTTGGAAAGGTCTGTGACTTGTGTAATACAGGAGGTAAGATTACAGGGTCTGTTCTGGCCTTGGAATCTATGAATCTGTTTTATGTTAGAAAGTTCTTTCTGCCTCATTTTTCCTAAAAAAAAATCCATGGATGACTGGAGAGCTAGATTATTTATGTTATCAGAGATGCCAAGCAAG